GGTATCTGTATATTTGTAAGGAGATTCTCCCCCTCGTTACCTCTAATAATATTGAAACGCTCTGCACGTAGTTTAGTTGCATAGCCACGATGGCCGCCGTAACCTTGCCTGCAGATACTACAGCCAACCGCGATGCCTTCGTATCCTCGCTCATTCACAATGAAGAGCCTTTGTTGGACTCCGATAAAATGTGGATACAACAGGACATCATCATCTTTAAACGCGATATCTTATTGATCAACGAAAAAATCGCTTCGCTGATCAGTCAAAGAGATATATTGCGGCAACGTCTAACCAGATACAAATCTGTTCTATCACCCATCCGCTGTCTTCCTCGAGACATCATGATAGAAATTTTCTCCCAGACCATCCATCCATCAACGAGCTGTCTAGACGTTAGCCAGGGGCTGTGGCCACTTTGCCACGTCTCTTCATCTTGGCGCAAAATCCTAATGAGCACTCCTTACTTGTGGTCTACCATCATTTTGACCCCACCGTACAAATTTCGACATTCGAAGATCATTCTCGCAGAACACCTCCTTCGCTCCCAGAGTCACCCTTTGAGGGTGACAATAACACAGGAGAGAACCGTGACCATCATGGTCAGTCAAGTCTGTGACATGGTGCTTCAGGCATCAGACCGCTGGCTCTCAGCGAACCTCAACTTGGATCCTTTCTATGCTTCGCGGCGGCTGAATTCTATGTACGGATGTTTGCCGTTACTAGAGGATGTGCACCTCACGGTCTTTTTCGTTGACGAGGGGACGATATCTGCAGGTCGCGATGTATTCTCTATCACACCTTCTCTCCGCCGAGCGGATCTACCGTTTGCGATTCATTTCACACCGCGGAACGGAAGCCGTCTCACACATTTGTGCTGCACCATCAGAAGTCTTGAAGATATCCAATCCATCTTCCAAGCTCCTTCTCTAATCGAATGCAAGCTGATATTGCACAAAGCTAACAAAGTCTATGACGGCCCTCTCCTTTGTAACGATACTATCCAGGCATTGTGGGTCAACGACATGGATATCCTAGACATACTCACCCTCCGAGCGCTGAAGAAATTAATCATCCGATACGTAGGCGGTGACGACGCGGTACGATCCCTAGTCAACTTCCTCGGTAGATCATCGTGCTCCCTCCTGGAACTCGGCGTAGAACCCAAGCTGGGAAAATATCTCGCCCGTTTCTCCGCACTCATCCAGAACATTCGCCGATACACCCTCTATCTTTACGACGACTTTATCAGCCCTGACACTACCATCGCGCTAGGACAGCTTGAGCAGGCAGACGTCATGCCCTCGCTAGATCAGCTTGACATTCATTTCCACCGATTCTTTGTACAATTTTGGAGCGCCGTCCATACAAAGGCCATCCGTAAAATCGCTCGTCGGCGCTTCCTGAACCATCCCGCATCAATGACGGCCAACAGAGGGCCGCGCGCGCCCATCATATTCCGTTGCAGTCATGAAACGGTAGATCTAGTCAAAAGCCTGCACACGGGGGAACTTTCCGATCTCCAAAATGTGGGACTAGTAGACGTTGAACCCGCATCGAAGGTATCACCACCTTACTGGATGAAGCCGCATTGGATGGACAACGGCAATGAATAACAGCTTGTTGGCGTTGCGAAGTCTCGGGGATTGATTGAGGGTTTTATAAAGTAAACTGGTGGCGCAGTTGAGGACTATGGTCGATTGGGTAGTGAGAGCTGCAAATACAAAAGAATGGATGGACAATTCGAAGGGAGGCGAAATAAAAGGCGACGGTGTCGTAGAAGCCAATAGCTCGACGGGATTCACGGTCGAATCCTAATATCATGAATCACAACTGAAGGGGGGTTCCATGGGCTGACTGCTACTTTTCTTTGAGCAGTGGGTCCCCCGCATCCTGTATCTCAAATGACCTCCGGATGACAAAAGTACGGGATGTCTACTCCGCAAAAAAAGAAGACTAATGGCGTCATTTTACGCCAGTGAACCGCATACATAGGCGTTGCTTGCAAGCCTTCACTTGCTATCCTGAATCTTTGCCGAAGCGGGAAGGTTTTTCAAATCGGAGAATTGTCCAGACCGGTACAAAAAATCGGGTCGCCTACCAATCCTGATTTTATTGCGTAGATAGCGCGACGATCAACTTTAGGCTGCGAGCGACTGGCCGCATCGAAGTTATTAGTATGTACTGTGTCCGGAGCGATGACTTATTACACTTTACGCAGAAACGTTTTTAACTTGTTGCACTGACATTACGGAGCAACAATGCGGTTTACGCTATCGGCAATATAGAATCATTGATCTACAGCCGACGCGTAATCATTATATGTAAGTGAGAGAAATGCGTGCCCCGCAAAACAACGGGAATCCACAATTGAAACTATGTTCGAAGTCAGTGATTGCCTCGAGGCAGCAACTGTCGAATCCGATGACGTGTTACGAGTCTTCTCACCGGTGAATTCAATCAACGAAATCGCCAAAGCAACGTAAAACTGTCAAACGTCGGAGCGCTAGTGTCCTGAATTGAGTGAAGATCCATTGGGAGGCGAATGGTCGTCTTCTAAAGTACAATGTGATGCGATGTAGAATGGATATAGATCCCTCTAATAGAGAATACAGCTAAATGGTATACTTGATTGAATACAACAACAAAAATGCACGTACAACCCGTGTCCGAGATGGAATGAAACCAAGAAAATTCCGATCCATCCAAAATATAGCATCGCAAGCAGAGATACGACGTCGGAGAGCCTGGCAAGGTACCCGGTGTCAGCTAGTATACTGCCACCCGACCGATTACCCCCCACCCCATCCCCGCACTCTCCTCCCATTCCTCCTTCAATCCCACTCCAAATCCGACCCCCAAGATGACGGCCGGGCCAGGGAGCCTAGGCTTCCACGCCCAATCCTTGGGATGGTAGGGGTTTACTCCCACTTGCGAATCGTAGGAGTCTCTCTCGTCGTAGGCACTGGGTGAAACGGGAAGAGCAGGACATGAAACGTGGCCCGAGAGAACGACGTTATAGGCGCGCAAAGAGTATGGAATCCAGATCGTGGGGGAAGGAGCGCGACGCCGACGTTTAGCCTGAGAAGACGGCGAGGAGCGCGTCGGAGGCGTGGGAGAGGGCGTTCCCGACGAGCGTGCCGCCGCCAAAGCCGGCAAAGACGCATTAACCGGCTTCAGAATGCAGCGCTTAACGTGCCGGTTGAGATTGGATGCAACTCCGAAGCGTCGTCCGCACGTTTCGCATTGGTATGCTAAATTCCAAAAATAAGTCAACATTGCTTATCTATTAAAAAACAAAACGACATGATTTTCACCTTTCTCTCCCGTGTGCACCAAAAGATGTTTCTTTAATGTACTCGGCCTGTCAAAGCGCTTATGGCACATTGTGCAGGCATGCTTGCGTTCCCTGCCGTCGTGAGGACCGTCCATTACGAGCACTGGCAGGCGAGAGACTTTGAAAAGCGACAGTGGGAATGCCGGACGCCAGGTCGAGGCTTATAACTTATATAAGAGCGTCCCAGGGAAGTCTTTACTGCGCCACTTGCCATCGATAATGTGCCTCGTGTCTGCGATCGTCGACACGCCACATCATGCAGGAGGAACGTCGGAGTTGCGGCGGAGTAGTCCAGTGATCCCATACTTCTGGCCCCTTCTTTCAGAGATCACCTCAATTAGTTACCATGCGGTTCCGTGAAAAAGATCCTTTTCGATTTCTCTAGAGTTCACGCGTAGGAGTTGAGTTACCGGGGGCAGGCCAGAGCGCTGCAACGTTCTGTTCTTTCTTCCCAGTGATTTGTTCTACCGGTCTGCCTGCCTTAACACATGGGACGGACATTTAGACGCCAAAGGGGAAAGACGGAATTCAATACGTGGTTCGAGTTTTCTAATCTCAGGTATGATGTATCGTGTCCATTCCGTCGACCCTCGTGTAAAGGTTCATTGAATTCTGCGTTCTATTACAGGATTTTATATCCTGAACGTGCGACGTCGACAAACGACCGGAAATAGTACAGTCCTAAGCTGTGAAGGCCGTCCAAAGAGCACCTCAAAATCTTCGCGTAGTCTGAGTATTCCTTGAACGGGTCACTCCGTTCGAATCGCCTCTCGAGTCTCGGGAATTTCTTTCATTGCGCCGGAAAACCCGTCGAGATTCGCGGCAGGATCTTCCCACTACGGTGATGCAATGCTCGGTCTCTAAAGCCTACGTGGATCGGATGCAAAGGAAGAACACAGTCACCTTACGCGGGAGATGTACCTTACGCGGGAGATGTCTCAATCGCTGCCTTCTCTTCTCACATGACGGGTCATATTCCAAATTCTCATTGGAGCGATAGCTCGTGTGTTTTCCGTATTTTAAGCTCTCAGGATGATTGATAGATAAAGCACCGAGACCCCCACTGTTATCAGGGTATGTGCAACAACGAGTGGCGTATATGCCTACCTCTGGGAACTTCAATATACGGACGGTGGATCACTTTGAGACTTGAACAATCAACACTTCGCGTTCCCACTCCTGCCTTCGAGGACCGTAGTTACATGTACACTGCGCTTCCATCTTCTGAGCAGGGTCACGGTCGTTTTATCATGTTTCTGGGCTGAGCGCTGAGGCCAGGAACACACCCTTACTGCAATGACACGATCACACCGACGTATCAATTCTGCTTCTCTTTTTTTTTCTTTGCCATGACAAAATTTCACTTTCTGATATGCAAGCTACGGAATCATCAGATGATTCTTTGCGCCTCGAACGTGAACATCAAATTCTGTTACTTGTATCTCACTGATTCCCGAAACCGAGTCGGAAACCCGTACTAGTAGCGTGAGCGGAGCCTATACCAAGCGTAAATTCCCGAGTCTTCCCAGCAAAGCATTGTTGACGGTTTGGACTGGATGAGCTCCAACAGATGTCTGCAAAGCGAAAATGAACCGTAAATCTTCGGGCTCGGGCAATTTACCAATTTTACCATATTATTTATAATACTACACAGTGTAGTGTTGGGTCGATGGTGTAGCTGGTTATCGCATCTGTCTAACACACAGAAGGTCTTCAGTTCAAACCTGGGTCGACTCAATTGTCATTAATTGCTTTTTACTTTTTCCCTGAACCTATGAAGTCACATTTTATTGATATCCTGAACTGTACAGTACTGTAATTTCTTCATCCGGTCATATCTATAACTGTGTCTTGTCAATAGAATATCATTGGATTTTATACTCCATTGGCAGCAAATTGACAAACACTGTTCACCTATATGTAAGTTACTTCGACAAAAATTCCTTCAGCGGGGGGAATTAGTAGTAATAACCCTTGGCGTGTCAAAATGCAGGTTTGTGCATCATTGCAGTGGCAACGTGGCATGTGGCATGTGGCATGCACCTCTGCATGAAGTTCAAAATTCGGATCTGTGGTACCAGATGGATGAAAAGGACAACGGTCATTTCAACATTTAAAAAGCAAAGCTGCTACGTGGACGGCAGTCGAAGACTCCCCCAATAATGAAGGAGCATCACGAGTAGTGTCAAGTGCATTCACGCAGCTCTGAAAAGGCGAACCTGTTTATAAGAGGCAGATAAATTGAGGGATCTAAAGTAATAATTGGAGGTGTCGAGGCCAGAGCTGAAACTCTGATTTGAGCGACAGAAGTGCAAACTAGTTGGAGAGAAGAACGAGGCGTTTATCATACGAGCCTGGAAAACTGAGTAATCGGAACCACAGGTTTTGATGTGTTAGATTTTAGTGTTCAAAACTCCTCGTATGATCGGACACTGCCAGACAGACCGCCGTCATCCGCCTCAGTAAAAATCCAATTCCATATTCAGTCCCATCTAAACAATGATCTTACTGCTTCTTCGCGGGTATCGGCGCGACCAATCTGGCCCGGCATTTGACCATTTCCACAAGCTCAGGCCTGGACATCTGCAACCAGGCGTCCCGGCGGTATATCCCTCTTAGCAAAACTCCCCAGACCATTGTCCAAAGCAGTTTTCTCAAATATTATATGCGACCCTAAAGCTCAGGCAAGCAAAAAGGGATCAGGGGGCTTACCTGTGTATTCACCGTTGCGACCACGCTATTGTGCCTCGCGCACGGGACTGCACACCTTTGATGAGAAGGGACTGATAAGCAAGTACGAAGAACGGGTGATGATGTAAAGATGTCTATCCAGGAGGCGTCCTCGTTGAAGTCGCTCCCTGAGGGAATCGCCAAATCCAGCACTATGACAAAGATATCAGTAGCCATTCTGGATATTCGAGTGACCCGTGTCGCAAACCGCGAAGCTGCTGACTTGCCAAATCCGCCATAGGGATCGGTCAGCAGCTACCTCGTGAGCACTGTGAATATAAACGATCGACCGACCAGTTTCATTTTCAGAAAACTGATATAACATGCACCATTATAAAAGTAGTTCACCCTCGAGGCCGCTACTTTCATCACCCCACCATCATGGACGTATCCATAGTGAGCGTCAGAAACACCGACGTTATCGTCGGCCCTCCCCATCTACGTATCCGGCTTGTGTGGTTCCCGACTGGGCGTCCCATCAACGAGAGCTTCGCAAGGGTCGTGGATCACCTCGCCGTCGAGGTTATCGAAGCATACACGTATGACTTTGGGAAGCTGAAACAAGCGAGGGTGCGTTGTATTGGCTCCTGTATACTTGCGCGACATCTGAGTTGTATCCCCCAGGATAATTTGGCCGCAGTCCTTAGGGCCTCACACGCACAGTGGGCCGTCATTACTGGGCGACAATTTTTTCCAGCGACCCAGGCGGACACCGCCCCAGCCAGCAGGCCCATCATCCCTCAAAAGCGCCCCGTCAGTGACGCGGAGTCCTTGGTCGAGAGAGCTAGGATGGCGACTGTTGGCGATCCCGGGATTGTTTCCTTGACAATCATCTCGGTACCAGCCCTACAGGTGGGTGCCGCCGATATGAACATGCAGTTGAGGGCTATGGCCCAGAAAGTGGAAGAAGTAGCGCGAGATGCTGGCGTGCAGAATCGCACTTCCATGATCAAGATGCAGGTAGTTTTCAAGAATAACTGAAATGTCGATTTCCTTTCTCTGTATGAATAGGTCTGTAATTGTCTGGCTTAGGTGACATGTACTTGTAGGAAGGAAGGTCTGTACTATAGTAATCTGTGAATGAATTCGGTCCTTGTTAAAATCATCATTCCTTTGAAACTGACCTTCCAATACACGCTTGTTCCAGCCGTTATGAATAATTCGTCGGGCATCAAGGCATAGCTCCATATATTTCCCTGCTCGGTCCTTAGGGTGGGACATAATACGAGTCGTCTTCACGTATCCAGAGAATAGATACGGCATGTCGAAGGCCCGCACTATATACTCCACCGCTTGAAGAGGTCGGCTTACAGTCGTGAACCAGCTATAGCCTGTCGGTTGCCAAATGTAGTTTCGTATAGGCAGTATGAACCTGAACATCCAGCCAAAGCGGTCTGATGTCCAATCCGAACATGGAATATTCCGAAGTTCATCCCCATTTCCGCATCGCTAAAAAAACTCGATTCAATATTCGATCTCGTCCAAAGACCGAACATACTCACCTCCCTGGCGTATCGGCGTGACCGAACCTGAGATTAACTTCTCCAAATCCTCAGGACTCAGCTGCTCTGATCATGCGTCAGTACGTTCACTCGAATCTTCCCAGCAAAAAAACTCGTTGCCAGAACAAACGTGAGCTTGGCTTTCGTCGGCCCGTATGCAACCTAAATCACGTCGGTTCAAACAAGACGGAGAGAACGGCAAGGCACATACAGATGCCACAGGGCTCGTTGTTCACCTTTACCGCCACGCTGCTGACGTTGATGTGCCTCGGGGGCGGGACTGTGCTCCTTTGACGAGGAGTAATTGGAAGGCACGCATTGCCAAGAACGGGGCGATCGCGTTAAGCGCGAAGATATCAGCCCGCCTCTGTACTGTTTGGGGTTCAAAGGGATCTTCTGCGCGCGTACGTTTTGTGATGAGGTCTATATGGCAGGACCAGCAAATCCGGGACTCTGAAGGCATCGGTGTATGGACGAGAGGAACGGAGGGCTCTACATACGAACTTGTTGACGAGAATATCGAACTTTCTGTCGATCTCTTCAATGTGCTTGGCCCCGGCCTGATGCTTTCTTCGTCTGACGTCCATCTGGGTTCTGTACGCGCATCAGAAATGATCACCATGGGGAGAGAAGAGCAGCTTACGGGACAACGGACCCTGGGACACCTGTAACTGACGCCGCGGCTTTTGCTAGCACGTCCAGCCTTCGCCTAGTGATGTATACCTTGACTCCGTTTGCAGCGAAGGCTATAGCAATCATAAATCCTCTGTCAGAGAGTCAAACATGAGTCGCAGATTGGAGGAGACTGCTCGCATTATCGTACCCATCAGCATCATGACAAAAGTTCTCGCGCCTGGGGTGGTAGTCCTAGTTATCGTGATAGTGGTTCAGTCTTGTTACAATCTTGTATATGAAGCAAGCTGTCTATCGTCGGTTTGCCACATAGAAGGGACTGCCACAGGACTAATAGTAGTCATTCATGCTGGATGCCGTATAATGTTCTTTGCGAGAAGTGCATGCTGATAACGACGCAGTGCCAAGATATCTTGGTGACGCTTAGCTGTGGGGTTGTGGCATTAACTGCATCGCAGCTCACCTTCACGATAGTTCGTTAGTGCCCTAATTAAGCTACCATTCTGGGACACGCTCCGCACGCTAGTATGAGAATGTTCCTCAACAATTCAACTCTGCGAAGAAAGAGTTGGATTATCCGGAAGATGAACCGATGAAGTAGCGTGAATGTGGGGCGCAAAGGAAAGATTTGTACGGGACATTCCAGATTTTTCGTCCAATGTTTTGCCTAGCATCGCCTTTCCTAACTCTCCAAACTAGCGCAGCGGGCCGTTGAACCGAGAATGATAAGAGTATTGCGCTCTTGCTGGACGGTGAGCTTCTGGTGCGTCTGCTTGCTTGACAAGATCCTCCAATTCGATGCTCGCCATAGCTTTGAGGCTGAATAGAAAGAAAAGAAATTTTCGGTTCTGTGTGGATGATAACGGTTGCAGTCAGTGTGTTTCAAACTCCGACCGCGACCAGCCGCCAGCCGCCAGCCGCCGCGGCCCACGCCTACCATCTCCTAGTCTACTTCGCAGCCTTCGTGAGCTTGCAAGCTCTAGGCCTCAACACCGACAAAAATTTGAAAGTGTTGGAATTCAACTCAACCAGCCAGGGTGAAGTGCTCAATTTTTGGCTATGACCATGTCGCGCTGCCTCCGAGGTGGTCAGTTAGCCGGTACATGGGCAGACCAAGTGCCAACGGGAACCACCTCCACGTCCAGGTTTTCGCCGGATATCTACTGTCGAATCGCGACCTCTAGATAACGGCCTAACGCGGCTGGCCGAGGTGGATGTGTCACAACGAGCGAGGTACTTTTCCGCTTTCCGTGTTGGTATTGCGCTTACACTGACGCATGTTTCGGTTCTGAGTTCCGACATTGGAAACAAACTACCATTGGGAGGTAAGTGACTGATATAATGCTACGTACAGGCTGACTGAAGCTTCCATAGGTTGCACATTTATGCTAAATATCTGAATTCGGCTCACGGGTGACATGGCATACCTATACTTGAATTAAGTTGCATCGTCTATTGATCGGCTTACCTTCTGGCAGAGTTGCGTGCACGGAACGTGTAAAAAGCGCCATCATCCTTGCCGAATACTTGATCATCCACCCCCATCATGTCTTCCCGAAAAGTTTGGTGGAATCATTGAGTATCAACCACATATGAAAGACTAGCCGGAAGGTGACCCAGGAGCATCGTAGTATGTGTTTCTTCGAGCATGCTTGACCTGAATGGGTGTTAGAATTAACGGACTTTTTACTAACCGACAACAGGCTAGATCTCTCTGTGTGGTGTGGTGTGTCGTGTCAATGTCCTTCCTTGTGCATGCGTAACTGTATCTTCAAGTTCGCAACCAAATCGGGCATGTACTAGGCCTTTAGCACGATGGATTACTTGGCTTCTGTTTAATAACAGAACAAACTTCGGGCGGCCTTCCTTTTT